TTTTACTGATTGCAAACTAGTTGATTCATCTGTGAATTTGCAAGGAAGTGATCATTGTTGATGCAAAAAAAAAAACCAGCTTGGGAGTAAGAATGGCTTGCTTTATGAGAACCTATCTTGCAAATAGGTCGTATGGAGTTAGATGGAATTTTACTTGTGTGGTTAACATCCTCTTTATGGTTCATCCAAGCTCGAGGTCTGCCAGGGTGTCTCCTTCACCATGTCATGGTCCGTCAATTCCATGCAAATCCAAATTGCTCAAGGTTATTTGTCGCTAATTACTTCCCACAAGATTTAGAATTTAGCATCTCAAACTTACTCAAGCTTGCTCATTCTTAAGTGTGAAACAATTCGCAGTGAACTATGAGATAAGGTACATGGGACAAAAGAAGGTGAGATTATTGTTTCTCAATATTTTACTGAATTGACTGGTTCATGGCAAGAACTTGATTAATATACAGCCTTTTGGCAAGCTTGCTTGAATATGCTGCTAAGTTCTAAAACTTGTGGAGAAGGAGCATACATACGACTTTCTTGCTAGTTTGAACATAGAATATTGCTAAAAGAATAAACTGAAATATTATCCTTGTTGGCATGTAGAACATATTCTTATAGATGTCAATACACTTTACGAATAGCTGAAATCATTGACCAATGTCTCTCAGATGAGGATCACTTGAAATTTGACTAGTGTGGGAAGCCGAGGCATACTGAAGGGTTGATTGAAGATGCATGGCTGACCAACTAGGGTCTATGGGATAAAGAAACAAATGGGTTTCACAAGGCCACGAGCAAGCCTGTTCAAAACTATGGAACACGTGACAATTAATACTAGGATTTTTCCAATGAAGAGGAGGAAATCATAAAACATTTCTGGTCTTGGCTAGAGTCACACTGAACTACAGTTGCTTCTTTCCAATTCGGATTTGCATGATGATTCATAGATTATAGGTTCTACACCAAAAAATACGAAAAACTTCTATAGGCATCGTCTAACAAAAACCAGACAAGGCCCCCCTTTTTTTTTTTGTTGTAGATGGCTTGGAATGGGTAAGAAGATGGCAGAACCAAAACAATAATGTCCACTAAATTCTGTAACTTAATTCTCTTATACTATGGTAAAACAATATATTGAAATATTGCCCTTGTTATTATGTTTGAAGGAATCGCATATGATATTTATAGGGATACCTAGGAGCAAGAAAAGAAGACTAAAATAGAACCTAACTGTATAGGACATTAGCTACATCTGAAACAACTGAGAAATGCCCTATTATTCTCTAATAGCTATCTTTCCAAATAATTTAGAATCATGTCAAGTTTTTCTGTGTTGCTTCCATTCAAAATTCTAAATTTTAATGTTGATTGTGGTTGGAACATAATACCAAAATTCTTAATTATTGTATTAGTCTTACATATGCTCTTTTGCTAAATTCTATCTTCACATGCCATTTGGAATAGTATGATTTGTTTTGGCACTCTTTGGGGCTAAGGCACTTAGATTTTTTCAGATTATCTATGTCTATTCACATAAAAGAATGAGGATGCTGTCTTGTATTGGTATTTGCCACATTCTCCTTTCTTGATTCCTTTTTTTGTTTTTCTTTATTTTTTTAGTAGGATAACTGATTCTTGTTCTTTGTTATTCTGTTTCCATCTTAACAATATCATCTTTTTCTATCAAAGAATTTCAATGTTGATTATGTCCATGAAGCTCCTTTTGAAATCTTTTCCTAATATGCAATTAAAAAATTACAGGAGGCCAAGGTGGAGATTGGGAAATAAAGAACTTGCACAGTTGTGGAAGTGGGCAGATCTGAATCCGGTGTGTATTATTTGTTCACCAACTTCAGGGAATTTCAGTAGAAAAGCAGTGTAGGATTATAAATTCAAAAATATATCAAGTAGTCTACGAGGATGATGCTGCATTTGTCCAACCAACAAACAAGCAACCTACTCAGTCAATCAAGTAGAATAATGAAAGGAGAGAACTATAGTGAAAGGATAGGAGGAAGAAAGGGAAGAAGGGAAGAGGAATGATGGTATTGAGAATAGATGATTGAGAAAGAGAGGAGTAAGGAGAGGGAGGATTTGGGAAGAAGAAACCAATAGAAAATATGGGAGTAGGAGAAATCGAAACAGCTTGTAGTGTGTTCATTAA